GGATATCTAATGCCAAGTCACATGTGTTACTTAAATATACATTCTCTGGTTCCAGAGATTGTTTGTATTTCCCAATAACAATTGACTGAAAAAATCTTGCCGCTACTGACCAATACAAAAGGCCAAGCCCTGACTGCAACAAGCCATGAATGCTCTGATATCCATGTAGCATGTGACCAGCCATTCTTATAGCCTCATTATGTGCGTCACCTTGCTGCACGCGTAGTGTTATCACATACATCATACAAATGGCAACTTCAAATACCCTGTACGAAACAGACATGTCCCCAAAGTCTATGATACTGACAATTTCATGGCCGTCACCACACTGATTGGGAGCAACAATAATGTTTTCATCATTAATATCACCATGGATGATCTGTTTCTTTAGATTCCCAAGCTTTGGAATGACTTCATTAACAAAATTATTGTAGACATGGGTTAGGAGTTTTTGTTCAGTGTCATCATGGGTTGCAGTCATGATGTAACTTTTAATGGTGTGTATCTGTGACAGGTCCCACTCGTGCTTAAATGAATCATCAAATCCAGAGTGGTGAAATCCCTGAAACACATAATATTTATTTTAAAAAAATGCTCTATTAATATTGAGTTAATAAAAAAGTATTGGCATAATCTAAAGGTGGTGTCATAAGGGCACATAAATAGAGTGGTTACCAATGAGTTGTTGCAGAAAAGATCTGGTCCCCCTCACAGAATGCTTTTTGGTTCAGCAAAACAGCCATTCACAAGTTTTTGTCACAAGTAACTGTCACTGTTATTTCTATTGTCATGTCATAAGATAGAAATAAAGAAAAGTTTCCTGCATAAAGAAAGTTTATGTTCTAAAACTTGTTGTGAAACATTATTCCACACATTTTGTTGGTTTGGGAGCAGTGCAAAAGATGGAGAGAGAAGAAGTAAGTGAGGAGTGTAGCCCAGGAAAGCAAGGCTCTTTTGCTCCTTGCTTGATGCTGTCACCACCACCCCCCCTCCCGCTCTTGCCCTCAACCCCCCCCTAAAACAGGCTACTGTAAGGGAAGCTGTCTCAGTGTACTAGTTTGGGAACATGCAAATGGGGTAAATAGAAGGAAGCCATGTCAAAATAGACTAATTGAAATTAAAGAGCTGATGTAGTTCATATTTGAAGAAACTGAATCTTTTTAAAATTTGCTCAGAAAAATTGACCAACCCCTGCCCTCCACAAA